TTTCTTCAGGGTCCTTCTGTTTTTCTAATCCTTCATAAAAACCCAGCATGAATTCCAACTCAATCAGAGGTGGTTTTAAAGAGTTTTCTTTTTTTTTCTTTTGAAAAGTGATTTTTAAAAGTTGCCATATTTGTACCTTTAGTCGTTATTCCTAATGTCGGTGAATGAGATAACTACAGCAAATGCTATAGCAAGAACAATTACTTAGCATAATTTAATGTTTATTCAGTTTTTTATAATAATTTTTGATTGGGTTTCCTTGCTGAGAAATTGAGATTTTCATCCATTAAAATTAGAGAAAATTATTCATATTAAAGCTATTTCTTAAGTTTGTTTTATTAAAGTAATTTCGTAAAGGACGTTTTAGTTGAATATTTAGTCTTTTAACGCAATTGATGTGCATATGCGATCCTTGTGAAAAACAAAAGGAAATGAAGAGTGCAAGTGAAAGTGAAGGCAAGAAAGGAAGAGGGCTTACCTGATCCAGTTCATTAATGAGAAACAAGCTATTTGAATTCTTATTCTTTACAGCAGCAGAATGCATCTAAAGTGAAAATCAACACAGAGTAAAGGAGAGAAACTGCTACTACAACAGTGCAGCAGTGAAAAATTAAGAAGTTAAGATTGAGCAATATCACCATTTCCAGAGCATTGTTTAAGATACAATTCTTAGTTCTTGTACAATTTATTTTGAAATTGTGAGGTTTTTAGGTTTTAGACACTGGCAAGATCACAAACTTTCTTACTAATAAAGACAGTTATTGTCATATAGGTTTGCGCTACAGATGCATCTAATATTACTTTATTTTAAATATTGGGTGACAGAACCAAGAGAAAAAAACAAACAAAACCACAAACAGCTTTTTTTTAATTGTCGAAAGAGAGAGAAAGAGTCAAGATTGAATAATAATTCAGATTTGAGTAAATTAAATTCAAACTGCCTTCGAGTGTATTAAAAGGTAGTCAGAAAACAAAACTTAATTTTATTAAAATTGAATAAAAATTAATCTAAAAAAATAATGGTTTAAGTAACTGATTTAATTTCTGTTTAAAAAAATGTCAATTTTATTATATTTAATAACCGTTTTTAAGTTGAAGCTTTTAACTAGAATTATTTTTCTAATGCTGAAGACTTAGAGTCAAATAAATAAAACAACTTTGAAATTTCATTTAGCACATGTATGCAATACTTTCACTATATTTATGGTCATTGGCAGTCTAAAATTATATTGCTTCTCTGTCAAATGTGAGTGCATGCAAAACTTAACAAGGGTAGATGTTTGTGAGGATGTGCAGCCCCCCCCCCCCACCCCCCCTAGATACTGTAAGCTATACTAATACATATCTACTGCCTTATTTGTACTTGAGTTTGTGAATGTCCTCATCATAAATGTAGTAACCCTTCTTCAAAAACTGGAACTATCCGCCTGCTTAATCCACCAATTGAAAGTATATCCTTACCGGCGTTTGCATTGCTACCCGGACACCCCAGACAAAAATTGCGACATGCACTTTGCAATAGACTGCCATCAATCAAACAAGTTAACGTCATTTACACTCATTTGGATCGGCCCAGATAGGCTCGGCGAGTGTGGCTCATAATACTTGTAAACAACCGACCAAAGTTTGGCACCTTTCGAATCACATACGCGTGTAAATGATGAACGTGTTTGATTGACGGCAGTCTATTGCAAAGTGCACGTCGCGATTTTTGTCTGGGGTGGCCGCATAGCAATGTAAACGCCAGTAAACCAAGGGCAACCAGCCCATGACGTGATTGACAGCTAGCAAGCACACTACTGATCTACGGCACCAAAAAGCCTGTAAAGGCATTTAGTAATTGCTGGATTTCAATCAAATGAAAAAAGTCTTTGAATCTCATTATCTGCTCAAAATGATGGTTAAACACTGACCACCATGTGCTGTCAACCAGAAAAAATTCTTAAATTGAAAACTTGCAATTCAGCTGATGGACAATTCTGCACAAGACAGGAAATGATTTCAAGTGAAACCCAGAAATACTTTTCTATAACTTAGACTTTTTTATACTTTTGTGCATCTGTCATTCCATTCTTTATAGTGAAAAGAAAAAATGGCAACAAAAGAAGCTATATTTCTTCCAACTCATAAATGAGGCACAACCTAGTAGTAACACAATCATTGGTGCAAATAAGAAGAGATAACTAGCTAAAAACTAGTGTGAGCTGTGTCTGTGTTTCTAATGAAACAGTAATGATAAAAAGGTAAATTATACACTGGGAAAAGATGAAAAAACTTACTGATGTTTTGAATGCTAGTCCTTCATCGGAGTCACTCTTTTTTCATCTTTTCACGGTGTATAATTTACCTTTTTATCATTACTGTTCCATTGATGCAAATCTTGTACATTAGTAAACTAAATTAAAATAGAGTCATGTCATACAACTCACCTGTTGCATTTTCTCTGGTGACTGTGCTTTTCTTACTTTAGATTTACAGGAGTCAAGATCCAGCCTTTTTGCAAACAAGGTCTTTCTCTCAGACTGTAAAATAAGAATCAAGTTATAAATGAATTGGTTTTGAGTTAGTATTAGGCATAGCTCAGGATCTCTACGCCTGTTTCGACTTCTCTCTGTTCTATGTAGCTTTAGCTTTAAATAACAGTAACAAGGAGCACTGATAGTCTGAAGGGGGTAAAGTGTAAAATATTATTATTCTCTACTTTCACATCCCCATAATACTTTGCGTCTTTGGGGGGTAACCAGAGGGTAAAAACCCACTTATTTTGCTGAATTCTGATCAGACAATGTTGACAATACCTTGTTTGGTATCCATAAATAAAATGAAGAAGTAAAAAACAGAAAAAGATAGAAGCTTGAAGACATCTAAGGTAAATTTTAAAAATTTTTTCGTAAGAATATATTTTCTGTACAAGACCAAAACTCTTGATGATCTGTACACGCAAAAATAACGTGGAATAAACTGATAATCAGTATTGTACAGATAAAAGCAGGTATAATATCAATTCAATTAAGAAACCTTTCAATTTGGGACAGTTTTTTGATTGGTTACCCCCCAAAGACGCAAGGCATTATGGGGATGTGAAAGTAGAGGATAATAAAATGAAAATATCATTTTGATTTTACCTGTATTGTCTTCATGTCACCTTCCAGAAAAGAGCGCAATGGCTGCAAGAAATGAGAATTTGTCTTTCTCATGAACTCCTTCTCAGCTTGTCCCAGTTTTTTCTCAGTTTCTCCGCACTTAATTAAAGCACCTCCTAAAATAATGCAAAGAAGGAGAGAAAAACTTAAGTGATTACATTATACGTGTACCTCAAAACATAACAATTGCATATTCAAGGATTCTTGAAGTTCAGAATTTTTCATTTCATAAGTATTTTAATGTGCAGAAAAGGATTAAATTTCCAGAGGTCATTTCAAGACACATAATATGTTATTTTTCAAAATTTGTTTTGAATCCAAGCATCGATCGAGGCTAAGATTAATGGCTGCTTAATGGAAGGACATGACACATTGGAATGAATTGGTCAAGACGACTGTCCATTAGACTTCCAATTCAAGAGGTATTTGGCCACAAACGTGCCAATTTTGACAAGACATTAACTAGCCATTCTTTCCTTTTTTACTATTTTMAAACTTATATGTTGTAAACCCCAGCTTTGACAGATCTGAATATAACTGTTATGTTAGTCTTGTAAATGAGTTGAATGGGAGTGCAACCATTTGGTCATTCAACACCCCCTTATACAATCACCTCTCAAAATCATTTTTAACTAAATCAACTACTGGCAGCTTAGTGACCATACAAGTTCTATTGCTTATTACAATAAAGTAACTTAGCATATACCAACTTGTGTACTTCTTAAGAACGTGCGCGCTCATTGGTTAATTGGAGGTGAATATTGTACGATATTCACCTCTGAATCTCGGAATATTGAGTCAGCAACAAAATGGCATCTGTTGGCAATCGTTTTGCTACAATTTCTGATGAGGAAGTTGAAAAAATGAAAGTAAATGCCATTCCTATCAATACTAAAAAGGCAACGAAGTATGGCCTAAAAGTTTTGCTAAAAGTTTTGCGTGAATTTGTCACACAAACTAAAAGTTTCTGTTTGTTTGTTTTTATTGAATTTTTGTATATAAAAATAAGTTACTCTGTACACAAGTTGGTATATGCTAAAACAATTATTCGCCTCAGGCTCAGTGAATATGGAGAATATTTACCTGTCTCGCTTCTCAGTAAATATTCCCCGATATTCACTTCGTTTTCGGCGAATAATTTGCTAAATATCATAATTGTAACTTATTTATTTTTTACCATAACTTGTTCCCGGTCCAAACTCCTGGCCTGTTTCTGACATGTAACATCCCAGTGTCTCTAGGTTGGTCTTACGCTCTGGTTTCTTCTTCTCAAGTTTGTCATAGACATACTCCTCTGCTCTGACTCCTAAAACAAATTAAAATCATTGATAACTTTGTCTCCTCTGGTTCAAAGTGAACATCAATGAACTATGACATTTCATTAATATTGTAACATACGTCTGATATTTGTTTTATTTATTTTTATTGTGAAGCGCCATGAATTTTGGTATGTGTGCTATATAAAATCCATTATTATTATTATTATTATTATCATTATTATTATTATTATTATCATCATCATTATTATCATTATCATCATCATCGTCGTCGTCGTCGTTGTCGTCATCGTCATCATCATTATTATATATAATTTCTAAAGTGTCTTCCCTATAAATTTTCGATGGTGATGTTTACAAAAAATTAATTGATAGTTGTAATATAGATCTCAGATTTTATGGGACTTACTAAAAAGAGCGTTCCCTCAGTAAATTTACTTAATGTATAAAGATTTATAAAATAATTCAGATGGTACGCGTGCTGTGATTGGCCGAGAGCCATGTTTGCATTTCCCTGTGCAAACACGGTTGTGACGCGTGTCGACACTGGCGGGAAAATTTGAGTTTTGTTTGGAAGTTGTAATTGTACACAAATAGTCATAACTCCAGTAAAATTAGTAGAATATGGCTAATTTTCCAAGCTTAGACTTTGACTTTCCTGAGGAAGCATCTGAAATAGTAGAACCACTAGAAGAGCCTTCAACAAAAAAGAAAAAATCCAGATTTGCCAGCCTGAACTCGGAGAATTTCGATGAACTCTTTCGACAACACCGACGGAAATCAAGCTTGAATTTAGTGAGTTCTAGCTCTCAAAATAGTGTTTTCTTTTCGGTCTAGAATGACTAAAGCCATTGGTTAAGCTTTGGAATTATTATTTTATCAAGATTTGCTTGTAAAAGCCTCTTTCTCAAGGGAGAAAGTTGCTAAAGTTTGGCTTCCTCTCACTTTGAAATAAGAAATTTTCAACTTGAATTTCATGCTTGGAGGCGTGTATCAAACTCACAATTTGATTGGTTAAGGGTCTTCTTTCGCGCAATCTGATTGGTTATTGCAAATGCACAAGTATGTAAGGAGAATTTGTATTCAAAACTTTGAATTAAATTCTTCTGTTTTATTTGATCGTGTTTCGTTATTTTTGTTTTTGAAGAAAATAATTTTATAAAACAAATAAAATACATTTACTGTGTTTGCACAGGCTAATGCAAACCTCGATGTGGTTGGTAGTATTCTCGAGCAGGTGCAAACACTCGCCTAAGGCTCGTGTTTGCACTGATCTGCTCTCGAATTCTCCCAACCACATCTCCGTTTGCATTAGCCTGTGCAAACACAGTAAATGTATTTTATTTGTTAAGTAGGTTTTAAAGTTGAAATCAATATATTATTCAGCTGGACAGTCAAGTGACTTCAATTGCTGTCTCACCATGACTTTCATCATGCAACGAACATAAAGAAAAAAATTTTTTCATTTTTTTATTTAAACATATTTATTCTCTGCTTTTTCTCCAAGAGCTTAAAACTCATCTAGGGAGATTATAATGAAAAGAAAAAGAAAAGAAACAGCCATAAGCAGCAAAAAGACTTCAATGACAAACTATTTAATAATATTTTTCTGTGGTTGGCATCCATTAGGTAATTATATCATATTATGGGTCTGGGTTTTCAAAATCTTGAAAACCCAGACCTCAAAAACACAGAACTAAAAATTGATGCATAACAGAGATGTTACTAATAAAAAGTCTTTTGTGCTGCCTACAAGACAGTTATTTTATTTTATTTCATTTTATTACACTATCCTGTGCTTTCCATTTTTTGCAGGACATACTAAGGTTATGATCCACAGGGAAACGATTAATATCAATGTCCAATCACATTTGAGTTCCTTGAAAACTGTAAAATCACCAAGGGAACTCTCCCTTTAAGCCCATATGTTCCTTGAAAGCTTTTTTAGAAAGGCCATTGTGGGCTTGCCTCTATTCAACCTTATTTGACCACTAAGTAAGCCTAAAACAGTCAAGAAACCTGTTTATCCTGTTTTTCAAAGTAGCTTTTTAGTTACAATTTTAAGGTGTCATTACATCTTTTTTCTTTCTTTCTATTTCTTTAACCGTCATGTAATTAGTTACATCTTCTTAATGGTGCATTATCTGTTGTAATGTCCTTGGATGAAAAATGGTCCTCGAAATATCACAAACATAATTTCCCTCAAAGCTTCACTTCTCGGCTAGCTGTTCTTTTTCTCAGGCCATTTCTCATCGTCAGACATTTAATTAGCTGATATCCCGCAGGCTGCCAGTCAGGTTTATTTACTTAATGGCATAGATTTATAAGAGTCATCCTGCTTCGTTTACACTATTTCTTTATTCTATGTTTTTTATTTCCTTTCAGGTGGAATAAAAATGAGACAGTGTTTTGTAAGTCATTGTTTCACTTTGCATTAATTTAGTCTGGTGAAGAAACACGGCTGAGAAGTCCCTAAATTCATATCAATTAATATGCAGTGTTTTTCTCTAGAATAATGAATGTGCTAAACTATAAGATGGAAAGAAAAATCCATCAAATTATTAACAATTTTATAGAAAAAATGTACCTAAACCAATGCATCAAAACTCTCTTTATTTTTTTCACCATATGATTTAAAATGACCTCAATGTTTTGTTTTGCAATAACCTATCGGCTCTCACCTAAGGACTCCAAAACATAAATACATAGCGAATATCATAAAGTATGATTATAGAGTGCATGTAGTAAAACCATCAAAATAAAAACAAAGTTGATACTGACAAATAGTAGCTATTTAGTAACTAATAGTTGCTATCACCCAACCAGAACATTCATCATACAAAGACAAATACACAACAGACCATTTGTGTCTTTTGTTTAAAAAATGTTCTTGTTGAGAGCTAGCAACTATTAGTCACTAAATAGCTGCTTATTTGTCAGTATCAACTTTGTTTTTATTTCATGGTTTTACTGCATGCACCCTTTTCCCAAAAAGAAGTAAAGCAAAACATATTAATTAGCCTTCAAGGCATGAGTAGATAGCAGATCTAACAATGCATAACCGTTCTTTCTTTTGATATTTTTTGTCACTTAACATAATAAATTAAACAATAATTAGCTTGATGTTTTTGTTTTTCAAACCAGCTGGTAAAAATATAAGCTTTCAAAAATACAAAAATACGAACATTTTATCTTAGCACCTTTCTAAAGAATAGTACTGTACGTAATTTAAATACATTTTTCCAAAGGAAAAAAAGGAAAGAAAGAAACAGGATTTCAAGCATTTAAAAATAAAAGGGGTTTAAATAAATGATAGAATTTTTTCTAAAAGAATATTTTTTCTCTATCAATGCAGAAAAATAATCAGCAAATGTTGAATATATAAAAAACACTGGCCCTAAAACTGCACTTTAGAAAAAATAATTATCTATGAAATAAAACCTAATTTAGAAAAATAGATTAAAAATGAGGAACAATTTAAGCAATAAAAACTAGCAAGCAATATGTTTTTCCATTTGCATAAATTTAGAGTTGGCTTGTCAACAAGAAATGAAATAAAAATAAGATAGAATAAGCTTAAACGCTTAACAGAAATGTAAAAATGTACTTACAGTCCTTCTTTGGTTAAATTATTAATCTAAAAATCGATATATAACTTCTTAGAGTTAAATTCGAAGATATATAAAATCAAATTTGTTTGTCTACGAATGGAAGCCTTGATTATTTCTTACGAGTTAGATTTTCATAGTCTTGCAAAATATGAATTAGAGGAACGGTAGTTAATATAAAATAGTTTGAAAGGCGAAAGTGATGACGACGATGCATCAAATGGTTTATATTTCGGAAAATTAAATATCAAAATTTTGAGTGTAAACACACCCAGTTCTTAATGCAAGGTTATTTATCATTAAATTATATAAGCTGGGTAAAATCCAACGTTATATTTACAAGTAAGTTTACGTTGATCAGCTTATCATAGAGAAATCTTTATACTTTATTCATATTTCCATAGGCATACAGATAAAATCAAGCTAATAACAGCAATACTCGAGGTACTACGTGTTAGAATACAACATCTTCTATAAATAGAACATAAAACGATAGCTTTTTTACTGAAATTGGTAAAGAATAACAGAAAGGAATAGAAGATGGGAAACTCAGCTTGAGACTTTGAGAAACAACGCAAAGACAACTATGGCAAGATATCTGGTAATAAACTCACCGATATTTGGTTGTAGGAGAGTCTCCGTCTGCCTCAAAAGCTGCTCTGTGCGGCATTTTGTCCGATCAGCTTTTTCCACCAAAGATTCAAACCTTGCATCAAGAACAGTGGCTTCAGACTTCCCAAGCTGTTCCTCTGTATACTGCACACAACAACAACAAGAAAATCCCTCAAAAACTACACAGATCTACCCCTGAAAGACTGGGAAAAAAACTACCTGTTTTGCTCGATTAAAGAACGTAGATGTTGTGGAGCCCAATTTTTTCATGGAGTCTGAGAAGTCTGCCATGTTGAATGAAGGAAAATGAGATTTGGAGAGCGACATTTTTGTATTTGAAGAATATTGAACACTAGTGCCAGTGCTTTCTACTAATACACGGACAAATGATGATCACGAGGCTTTATTGGGGCTCAGGTTACTAACTACGAGGGAACCACAGGCAGTCCAAAATGTCATGGCCGGTTCCCAAAACGTCAAAAATCGAAAAATCGTTCTTTGTTGCAGTGGGAATGTAGTATCTTAAGAGATATGGTAGTAACAGCGTGTTAAAAATTGTTAAGGTTTTCCCTCACTTCTAAC